CATACCTGTCCCATTTGCCACTTGGATTCTGTCATTCCCATGGTAGTCAGCTGCAAAGCTTAGGTTTCCAAGATCATAGGTTAGATGATTGGTTGCCCCTGAGTCAGGGTACCAACCTAAGTCTTGAGAGGAATTTTCAGAGACTGCATCAATACTGTTGGTGATGAGGTTTGCAGAATAGCCAGGCTGAGGTGCATTGTTGAAACTTTGGCTGCCAAAATTTGATCCTCCACTGCCTTGGTTCCTTCTTGTGAAGCTCATGTCAAATCTATAGTAGCATTTGTCAGCCGTGTGGTTGTTATAGCCACATATTTGACACCTATATCTTCCTCCACCACCAGATCTATTTCCTCTTCCTCTATATCCTCTATTTCTGCCTTGATTTCTTCCTCTACCAGATTGAAAACCAGGTGAAAACCTGCCTATGCCAAAGCCATTGCTGCCCCTTCCTCTTGTGTTTACTTGAGAAGCTAGATTTGCAGCAAGTTGTGAACTTTCTCCTACTCCAATTGTGCTGTCCATTGACTCCATCCTGGCCTCAAAACTTTGTATCACAGAATATGCTTCAACCAAAGAGCACTTATCTGTTCTTAAGGTAATGGAAACAACTACTGAGTTATACTCAGCTCCTAGGCCAGCTAAGAGGTGGAGGATTTGATCACTTTCATTGATCTGGTGGCCTGCCATGGCTAACATGTCACAAATACTCTTGATCTTGATGAAGTACTCTCTGACCTTCATATTTCCCTTCTTCAAGGTTTGCAGTTCCATTCTCAGCTGCATTTGCTTGGCTTGACTGTGACTAGCAAACCTGACTTTCAGGCAATCCCAGATTTCTTTGGAAGTGTTGAGACCAACGGTGGTAATGAGAATGTTCTCAGACAATGAAGAGAGTAACCAAGAGGCTATCATTTGATCTTGCCTTACCCAGTTTGCAAAACTGGGATTTAAAGTCAGATCTGTGGGGTTTGAGCCAGTAATGAACTTTTCTGGTTGGGGGTACTGTCCTGTAATGTATCCTTGCAAGCCATATCCTCTAATGGCAGCAAGAGCTTGTTGCTCCCAAATCAAGTAATTTCCATCATTTAACTTTACAGATATCAATTGACTTTGCAGCTGGATCAAGGCATCTCCAACACCCGATAATGGTAAGGTTGTTCCCATGGTTTTGATGACTGGAGTAAAAAGAAGAAAAGAGCTATGAGGATATGAGAGAAAGGGGTAAACAGAGACAGGCTAGTCTGCTCTGATACCATAAAAGCTTAACATGAAAATGGATAAAAAGAAAAGAGACATGATAAAGGATAGAGAAAAGTTTTTCTTCTTGTGAAGTTCTCAGATCTACTATTTCATTGATATGTTCTCATGCATAGCGGCTACACCGAGGAGGAAGGTATATATAATATGTATGTGAGTGTGTGTATCTACAGGTGTCAACAATCCAACGGTTCTGAGCTAAATAAATGATGGAACCCTAATATTTAATGATGTTTGTCTCATTAGGAGAGACAGCTTGCATGATGTCCTTGTCATCTGCATGGTCACATCTCATTTCCACCTTGGACATCATTGATTGGGCTAAATAGTTTGAATAACCTGGTTCCTTAATATCTTTTACTCTATTTAATTGCATCATCATCATCAACTTTGGCAATAGCATATCAAAAAGATGGAAAATATTTTCTATATTAGAATTATGTTTCAATTTTTATTTCACTCTATTAGATAATTAATATGTGTACAATTATGACATTATTAAATACAAGTATCATTCATCCAATGGAATAAAATTTGAATTGAAATATGATATTTAAATAGAAAATCCCATGAAAAAGTACTGATCACGTTGAAAGAAGGAGGTCACTAATTCAAGTGTTTTCAAACATACATGCACCAATGTAGAAAGATTGTGCTGGTGGAAACATTTTCCTTTCGAATCATGCTAAAGTCCTTTAAGGCACGACTAGATATAAGTAAAATATGTTTCGATTGAATTTATTCTTTAAAATGAGTTAATTTTGAGTTACGTTGATTGAGTAGGATTTTGATTTTGTATTCAATAATATTTAAAACGTCATTGTTGAAGTTCGTATTCATCAACGACTACGAAACAATATTTGCTATTGAAAGTGTGTGTTTATGATATCAGAATAGGTGAAAATGAAAATGGAAACCTTACATTAAAGTAGAAACAACAAGATACTCGACGATTTGAGTCACTCCCAACCTTTTCTAGACAAGAGCCTATGGGAGGCTATATGAATTTGAAAGCTAACAAAAATTATAGCCGAGGAGCCTGGATTTATTTCAAAATTTGTCTTTCTCACATGTTTTTTTGTTGCTCTATTTTTATATCTCTCTCTCTCTCTTTTATGATCCTCTTAACTCTCAGAGCCTTGCTATTTCTAGAATGAGGAGGCCTATAAAATATGTTATTTCATGGACACGTGGCATACTCTCATGGATTGGCGACATGCAAGGTGACACTTGTTTCCCACAACTTACTGAGGTTGCTCATGTGGCTTATACTTTTTGGCGGTGCGAACCCGTTTCGGGCAACAACACTCACACCAGCATTAGCTGAGATTGGCATGAAAGAGGTCCTCTTGCTGGTGGCCGGTGTGAGGTGGTAACCTTTCTTCTTTATGGTGGCGCCAGACGTTCATATGGTCTGGAGTGAGATCGGCAGGAGGAGAGAGATCCTCTTTAGAGTGCAACGTCTTTACCTAATTTGATATATCTTTATGATCTCGGGATGACATTGTTCTCCGATTCTTTGTGATATTGCTGGAACAAGCTTATTATCCTTGCTTCGGTTGTTGAGGGTACGTCATCTATATCCGGATTAATGACTAAAGTTGATATGATGTAAAAATAGAAGAGAAGTTTTTGGAAATGATATGTAGTTAAAAATATGTGAGTGAATAAATATGTATTAAAGTTGATTGTGATATGTGAGCATGATTGATTGATATTATTTACTTAAATTAATAATATTGGGATGAGTTTGGTTGAATTAAATTTGAATTTGATTTTAGTTTGAAAAATGTAAAAGAATTATCTGATGAGTCATAACCGTTTATATTTTATAGACAATCACGCCCCAAATCATCATTGTTTTTGACTTTTTTGTTCTATTTATCAACCTTTAGTAGAGGCATGACTTCCGCATTTTGTTATACATTTTATAGTCAATCACGCCCCAAATCATCATTGTTTTTTACTTTATTTGTTCTATTTATCAATTTTAAGTAGAGGCATGACTTCTGCATTTTGTTATATAGGAATTGGAATAAAATAAATACAAATTGGATGGTTTTGTCAAAATTCGGGTGGACAAAATGAAGCACATTGTTCGCATGCGTTTATATATATATTTAGATACATAAGAGCTGAAATTGACCAGACAAATGTTATTTTTTTTGGACTAGACTTCGTGGCGTAGGATAGGGAAAGGAGAACTTTGTGCTCCAGATAATGAAATATTAAAAAAATTATTTAATGAACGAGTTTATTTTTGGTATTTGATGGATGTTTATATGGAAAATAAATTAATTAATGTATGTTATAAAGTGGGAAAATTTATTTGGTTAGTTTCTTTCATAGTGGTCAAAGTGATGAAACAACCATTAAGTTAAGCGAGATATACATAAATAAAAATGTGATGTTATCAATTTGATTCAATATACTCGATATAATAAAATTAGTTGATTAGGAAATAACCAAAATATAATTAGAAAAAAAATATCTTAGTCAAATATTACATAACCACATTGCAAATCACCAATAGACTGATTTGCAATATATAAACAAACAAATACATAAAAAATATTATAGCATCAAATTAACCAAAAAAAAATGTGTGAATTACATAGAGTAAATATTTGGTATCACAAAATAAAATAAGAGCATCTCCAATGCTCTAATGTTGTTTTAGGATAAATTTTGACAAATGTCAGAAAATTAAATAGATTGTAAACCATATAGAACAAATATTAAATTCACAACTATTAAATTAAAAAATTATCTCCAGTGCACAATGTAGTCTAATTAAATTATTATCTACTTGCTAAATATTAAAATTTTAATATGAATTAAAAAAATTAATTAAATAATTAAATAGCTTGAAAATGGTAAGAATAATTCTTTCTGTTCTTTCATTGGCTAGTTAGAGTGTAGAGGAGAATGTAGGTAACTTCATTTTTCTCTACATTGTAGACATTAATTATGTCCACATCAGCACAATATTTGTGATCACATTATACATTAAAGGATGAAAAGTTGTGATATTATTAAATGTGTATGTGGAATGCAATTTACCACACTAACAACATTTGAGCATTGAAGATGCTCTAACTATAGTTTTACGGAGACTACTATAATAGCACCAGATTAACCAAAGAACGTGGAGTACTACTATATAGGACTATCTCGTCTTACGGAGAGCGTAATTTTACGTGCCTTTGACTTAATTGATTCGTTGATTCCTTTTTTTTTTTCTTATGATTATTAGTCAATTTTTTGACATTCACAAACTACACAAGCAACACAACAAACAATTGTACATTGGATTGTATAGGTAGGTTTTCTACTCATAATTTTTTCACACGATATAAAATATTCAATAATAATCCACCCAAAAATACATTTTACCATAAGAAAACATAGGCAGAAATTATGCATTATGCATTAATTATCCAATTCCTTCAAAACACATATTTTTTATTCCATAATTAATAAGAGTATTAAAAAAGGCTAACTCACGATTCACACGACTTTATATTCGCTAGGGGAATTAAGCCTAGTTAGTAATTTTATAGTCACATTAAAAAGTCCAACTCATGAAAATTATACAAATGATGTGATGTTGACAGTGAAAGGGCATCCTGCTAATTTAGGCGTGATTGACTGCCTCTTGTGCTCTATTTAATCTCAAACTCGCCTCCGTGTTTTGGTCATCACAACATCAAATACGCAATTCTATATATATAATGAAAATAATGAAGACATCTCCTCTACTTCTAGCGGCAGTCTTGGCCGCCGCCGCAGCCTTTTTCCTGAAAACGGCTGCTTATACATCATCCCCACCTCCCAATCACAAAAATACCTACAAAAACTTTGTCCTTACCCAATGCAACGACAAAAATGTACTATATCCTCACCTCTGTGAACAGACGCTACTTCCCTACGCCAACTCCATACACGGAAACCTCGGGAAACTCGCCCACAAAGCCCTCAACATCTCATTAACCCGCGTTCAGGCCATGACGTCATGCATCTCTCGCCAGAAAAGTCACGACACTAACATCACCGCGGCTTTGGCTGACTGCAACAACACTCTCGCGACTGCACAGTCCTACATAAAGCAATCACTGCAGCAGATGGACTCTCCAGCGCCCCCCAAGCAAGGGGGAATTGTGGGGGAAAATGTGAAAACGTGGGCGAGTGCGGCCCTAACAAACGAAGACACGTGCAAGGACGGCCTCAGCAAATACTCAACCAACACTAGCTCTGCTGCGTGGGCGTGGCAGAACTGCAATTCCAAGTACTTGGTGGAGAACGTGACAAGCAATGCACTCGCCTTTGTTAATAAATACTATTCTACTCCTCCTCGTCATCCTCCTCCTCCTCCTAAGTATTAAATATCATATATATGTAGAAACAAAAACAAACAAAATAAAATGCCACTTTTATGTTTTTTTCATATTTGTTTCTGCACACATAGGTTTTTATTTCGTAATTGGTATGTGTTGTGTTAATGATAGAGTTAGAATTACGTGGAAAAGGTGATGATGTGGCTGAAAAAGGTTGTGGTGGCTATTATAAGGATCGCGATATACTTAATACATCTTTAGTTTTGTTTGTGATTCCAAGTTTTTCAGTTAGTGCCGTTTTTTGTTACATGTCAAGTTTGACACTTTGATGGGGTTGCTAAGTTAATGTTAAATATAATGAACCCAATATAATTCGAAGGAGATTAGGAGATGCGCGTATATAAAAAAGAATGCAAGTCCATATAAATTTGTGAAAGTCAACAATTACGTGGTGTTACCGTTGAGGTTTGCTTGGTGTGTTAGTCCGACGGTTGGGGAAGGACTTTGTTTTTATTCTTGTGTTTGTCGGGTTTTTTTTATATGTTTTTATTGTGTATTTCTCTGTGTTCCC